GGGGGGGGGGGAGCGCTGACCACAAAAAAATAAAATAAAACCCCAACTGAGTTAAAGCCAACCCTGAATGGCAGGTAAGCAAAGGCAGCATGTGACATGGAGGAACTGGCTGGACGAGTGTGTGTCCTGGCAGCTCTCCCAGCCAGCCGGCCGGTTGTCCCAACTTCTCTCCCTTCCTCCACATCCTGCGTCTCTTCTAACTTCCTCCAACCCAGCGGCAAGGGCTACCAAATGTCACCTGGGGTTGCTCTGCCCCTGGGGCTACTACTCAAACACCTTTGATCAGAGCGCGCACACCAGAGCGGGATTAACTCTCAGTCCCTTGGGAAGGAGCAGGGCGAAAGGAGGGAGGAATTGGCGGGCGGAATCCCATCCGTCTCCATTATGGTCCAGAGGCTTTAAGCCCATCTGCCTTTCTGTATTTAAAGAGGGTCGTTTCTTGGAGGGAGGAGGGGGGAAAAGGCTGACAGCGGAGTGTTTTTAGGCGTCTGACAATTACCCGCCGGAAGTCCATTAAAAATATCTGGAACGGTCCCAACAAGCTGTTACCCTAACTCTAACCCTTCCTAGCAACTCTCCGTCTCAAGTTAACTTCCCCAATTTTTGTCCTCCTAGCTCTGTGTTACTGCCAAGAACATCCCTTGCATTAGCAGGCCAAAAAACAACAACAACAACAACAACAACAACAATGTGGAGATTATCACAGAGAGCAAGAGTGATCTCTGAAACGGCTGGCCGGTTGGTGAGAAACTCATTTGCCCCGGGGTTTTTTAAAGTCTCACCGCGTACGAGGGAAGGAGCCCGGTGTTGTGACCTGCCAGCGGCCAGCAGAGCCGGTGGCAGAGTCGGACAGTGAGGAGGTTGGGGAGGAACATGGGCCAGTCCTGGGGGCTGAGGGAAGCTCAGACGAGGGCTCTGCATCAGAGGCAGAGTGGGTGCTAAAGGGCAGCGAGGCAGAGGAACAGCTGGAGCCTGTTCCCAGTGTGCGCATGCGCATTGATGCCAGAAGACAAGGACAACTAAGGAAGTAGGGTTGACTTGGGAGTAAAGCCACACCTTGGAGGTGATTGGCCCCTCCCATAGGAAACAATAGAAGAGCGAACGGGGAGGGGGCTTTTGCAGGAAACAATCCGTTTCTTCGGTTGTTTCAACCGTGGAAAGTTGTGTGTGTGACTATAAGAGACTGTGCCAAGTTTTGCCTTGCCCTGCATTTGGAAACTAGTTATCTGGCAGTGCTCCAAATGAGATAAGGTTCGTGTGGATAAACATTCCTCTGAAAGACCAAGCCTTGCGGACTGTGAATGAAAGGAATTCACAGCCGTGTAAATAAAAGGGGTTTTGCCGGGATCAGGACTCTGCTTCATGCTTTTTAAGGAAGCTTGGGTCAGAACACCTGGTGACTCGTCACCTGTGGCTAAGCCCGTCCCCTGAAGAAATTTTCCCACGGGCAAAAATCCTCAGGGGGAAACCCCTCTCCTTTGACAACTTCCCCCAGAGAAAGGCTGCACTAGCGGCCCTTAGGAACCAATTGTGCGGTGGACAAACTGCTGCACTGGATGTTAGGGCCACTTGATCAGCAATCCCCCAACCTTTGTGGTTTGGTGGCCTAGCTGGGGGAGGAGGAAGGGAGGGGAAGAAGAGAACGAGGCCGTGCGAGCTGTGGAGGGGGCATTGCATGCACGCACGCGCCGTTTGACTTTCGCAAGTGGGCACATCGCCTGCCGTTCGTGTGGCCCGGTGATGAGCCGATGTCCAGGGTTGGGGGGACCCCTGTCCTGAATTATTTAGTCTTCAACCTTTCCCCTCCCCCCACCCCACACTTTTGGGGCTGGTTTCTCAAAGCCTCTGGGTATATTTTATACCTGGTAGTTGCACTCTGGGTCAAGGCAGTGGTAATGTTCCCGATACTGGTATGCACAATGAATGTGTCCGCAGTGCTGGCTTCCGGAAAACCTGGACATAGGAAGAAGAAAAGAGAGGAGGTTACGTGGGTCAGAAATACGACGAGCAATGGCTTCCCCTTCTCCCCCCCACCCCTCATCCTCTCAGTTGGACACCTGTCCGTTTCAAAGCAGGTTGGGCAAGGGCTGGCCTCCCGTTTTGCGCTGAGAGGAACTGACACAAAATGACAAATTGTCTGCACCGAGTGGTTGCAATTTCTAGGCCTGGAGTTCCTATGCCAGGAGGCGCAGAGGGCACCACTTTCTCCCCTTTCTTATGAACCAAAGGTGCAAGGACAGACTGGGCGAACCCTGGCTCAAAAGCAATCACTGCGAGAGGGACCTTGGGAGTCCTACTGGATGGTCACTTAAACACGAGCCAGATGTGTGTGGCAGCAGCCAAAACAACCAATACAATCCTTAATTGTGCACACTGAGTGTCCGTAATCTGCGGCTCCGGAGCCGCATACGGCTCTTTTGTCCCACTGCTGTGGCTCTTTGTCAGGTGATCTCACCACTGGCTGGCCCCACCCCTCACCCTCCTTTCCCAGTCACTCCTTGCCTGGCCTGAGAAGGTAAGGGGCAGAGAGCACGTCATATATCTTCTCAAGCGACTGAGGAACATGCAGCACCAACAAGGGCTGGAAGAAGCACCCACAAGACCCAGCAAGAGATGAGGAGCCAGAGAATCAGAATCAGAGAGAGAGAGAGAGANCCGGCCCCGTTCCAACCGAACCGGTTGGAACGGGGCGAGAAACCCACCCCTGGGCAACAGGCAGGAACCTCACAGAGAGAGCTCAAAAACTATCACACTTTACACAAAAATAACACAAAAGCAACACAACGGACTCACACACAACGCAAAAGCTGCTGGACTTTACACAAATTGGCCTCTGCAACAAGCCGGAACCTCACAGAGTCACAGAGAGCTGAAAAACCAACCCCCTCACCCTTTACCCAAAAATAACACAAAAGCGACACAACGGCCTCACACACAATGCAAAAGCAGCTGGACTTCACACACACATAAAAGGTTTCGAGGATCGTACGGCCCAGCTCAATGTCGCATAGCTGCTCGCCAGAACCTTTTTTTAAACTTTTTTTTTTTTTTTAGCATTTTGCCCCAACCGGTAGTAAAAAAAAAAAATGCTTTAAAAAGAAGTTTTTAAAAATATTTGCTGTGTGACATCCAGCCGTGGTGCGCAATCGTCGGAACTTATTTTTAAAACTTTTTAAAGCATTTCTTTTACGATCGGTTTGGGGCGAACCGGCCCGAACCGGTAGCATTTCACCCTTCCCAGGATCAACCGTTCAGCGCACCGGATCCTTAGCTCTCCCAGGCTGGCCGAGTTCTGGGTTCTGGGCATTTACCTGCATGCAGTGGTAATGTGTGCTTTTCCCGTTGAGGTGGCAGCCATGATAGTAGACACTGCAGTCGTCCAGGGGGCTGAAGCGCATGAAGCCATGCTGGAGGGAGTTGTCCCGTTTCTTGTGCATGTTGTAGTGCCGGATGACGTCCTGCTTACTGGTGAACCTCTGGTGGGTGGGGGTGGGGCGAGAGGGAGAAGCAGAAGGTGAGGTGGGCCGGGGGGGAAACATCCCGGAGATGGGCAGGTGTGGGCATTCCAGCTACCTATGGTGTCTCCCCAGGAGGGTTTCGCAGCAGAGAGAAAATCCGGAATGGGGAAAGACTGTACACTGACAACTTTTAAGACTTGGCTTAAAGTCAGATTAACAGAGTTGGAAGGGACGTTGTAGGTCATCTAGTCCAACCCCCTGCCCAAGCAGGAGACCCTACACCATTTCTGACAAACGACAGAGTAGTCTCTTCTTCAAAGCCTCCCGTGAGGAAGCTCCCACAATGTCCGAAGGCAACTTCTGTTCCGTGGGTTGATGGTTCTTACTGTCAGAAATAATCTCTCCTTTGTCAGTTTCCATCCATTATTATTCCTTGTCTTTGAAGAATAGCTTGACCCCTCAAATATCGGAAGGCTGCTGTCCTGTCTCCCCTGGTCCTTCTCTTCACTAGACTAGCCAGGCCCAGTTCCTGCAATCGTTCATCCTATGTTTTAGCCTACAGCTCCCTAATCATCCTGGTTGCTCTTCTCTGCACTTTTTCTAGAGTTTCAACATCTTTTTTATAGTGTGGTGACCAAAACTGGATGCAGTACTCTAGGTGTGGCCTTCCTAGGGCTTTATAGAATGGCATTAGTACCTCCCTTGATCTTGATTGTATCCGGGTCAATAAAGCTTGGTTGGCTGGGGAATTCTGGGACTCGAAGTCCACAAGCCAAGGATGGATGCCCCTGCTCTAGAGCCAATCAAAATCACAGCAGTTTCCCCCCGCCCCACAACTTTCTGTTCCTTAAGGGCTATAAAGGGCTCCTTTTTCAAAGAAACAGTTGGAAGGGACCTTGGAGGTCTTCTAGTCCAACCCTCTGCTCAGGCAGGAAGCAGTGCACCATTCCAGACAAATGGCTGTCCATTCTCTTCTTAAAAACCTCCAGTGTTGGAGCACCCACAACTTCTGAAGGCAACTTCTGTTCCACTGATTAATTATTCTAATTGTCGGAAAATTTAACTGAATAACAGAGTTGGAATGGACCCTGGAGGTCTTCTAGTCCAACCCCCTACACAAGCAGGAG